GCAGCAAGGTTCTCATCCTTAACGGAGCTATGCAGATAACAGTAAGATGCAGACTTTCTTCCCAATAGCCATGTTGCTATGGGAACCACAGCTACAGGTTCAATCCCACCGCAGACTAGCGAGTTATAAACTAATCCATGGCTACTGACTGTATTCTAGAACAACATACACAGCGAGTGTTCAATAAGTGTGCACTGGGCTGAAGTGAATGTTTATTGTTGTTCATAAGGGACAGTCAGCAAAAAAGAATGTTGTCAGTAAATATAAATATCCCTACCACTACACTCAGTATAGAAAAGGCTATCCGATGGGAACTTGTTTTCTATTTCATCCTAAGTAAAGGATTAAATTATAATCCCTCAAGTACAAACACACACCAGATTGTTAGCTCTACAGATGAGGGAACTGAATCTTATTTATCTGCATGTCCCCAGAATACCTAGCCTAGAGCCAGACACATCTCAAGTGTCAATGCTTTTTTGAATTGAATTATATCTGCTAGGTCAGCGTGAGAGCTAAGAAGATGTCGACTAGTAATTCACCATTCCTTTCCCTGAAAGCTCTGTAAATCAAGCTCTTAAAAAAAGCAGCAAGCTAAATTCCAAAACCCTTGCTTAGGAGAAATGCCCATGGCTGGTGGGGTCTGGACTATGTCCACTGAATGTGCAGATCTCTTCTGCACAAACATCTCTTATTCCCAAGGGAGCCCATGACTAGTCGACAGGCTGTGGAGACTCACACGTTCCCTCTTTCCCAACAGCAAGGGGGTCAGGGGAAAAGGGTGGGAGTCGAGTGATGAAGCACTGCTGGACTAAATGTTCTCTCCTTCCCAGGAGAAGGAAAATCTCACAACAGGAGGAGAGTTGGCACTTCTCTAGAGGAACAGCCAGAAAGAACATGGGCTGTAGTGGAAAACAATCTTTTCTCAAAATAAGTTGTTGTTGTTTTTAAAGAGCTACCTTCAATATTCTCTCTTCCCTTAGATTGGAATGGCCTTTCCAGAACTGGATTGGAATCCTACATACTCAGCTGACTGGGTCGGTGGAGTGGCAATATGGTATATGAGTTGAGGAGCCATTAGGCTAAGACCCTATAATAACAACAACAGGAAAAAATAGTATTTGCTAATAAGATCTTTTCCTGAAATGCTGAATTTGAAGGAACTGAAATAGAAAATACTGATTTTTCTGGGAGGCAACCAAAGAACAACTTATTAATGTCCTAAACTCTTAACTCTGGAGAAGGGAATGGCAATCCACTCCAGTATTCTTGCCTGGAGAATTCCATGGAGAGAGAAGTCTGGCAGGCTATAGTTCATGGGGTCGCAGAGTCGGACACGACAGAGCGACTAACACACACAAACTCTTAACACTCTTGAAGATTTAATCACAATGTAAAATCCAAAGTTTTTATCAGCAGTGTTTGGACCTCAACCGTACAAATCTCTGAAGTGACAACCAGTATGATTCCTAGGTGTCTCCATTACACATCCCAGGGGTCGGCTGGCAAGGTCTGTCAGATTGGTGCCCTGGTCTAGCCTGGTAAATTCTTTCCAGGAGACTTAGGACACACTCTCCCAGCTGCCAAGTTCTCTGCTTATAAGGTGCAGAATTTATTAGCCCAAAGAAAGATAAAAAGAAAGCCTGCTACCTTTTAAAGTGCTTTTACATACAGTTTCTTTATTAGAGCTTGGTGTTTCCAGAAATACAGCTGCTCAGATCACTTGAGCCTTTGTACTAAATCAATAGGGCTTGTTTTAGCTTTCAAAGAACCTCTGTGCTGTTACTACCTATCAAGCAAGACATCTCATGGTAAGCTTTTAAAGAAAGTCACCTGTATTATCTCTCATTTGGGGAGAACAAAATCATGAGAACGTGCATCTTTAACCTACAGCTGGCCATGCAAAGGTACAGAGAGATTTGATAAGCAATCTAGGTTTGTCCATCTCTGGAACTCAAGACTGTCTAGTCACCCAAGACCATAGGCTTTCTTCTAGCCTAGGTTTTCTTCTCCAGTTCCTCGAGATGCCTGATCCCAACTCTAAACCCAATTCTGAGACAAACAGTGGCCTCAGACCACATCACAGACACCAAAGAGAGTACTGCTAGAAATAGTGTGGCATGTTGAAAAGTAAATAACATTTTGAACTGAAAAATTCTGAGTTCCAGCTCTTACTACTTGTCTGACCTTGGATAAGCTGCTAAACAACTTCAAAGAACCCTAGTTTCTCTTCAGCAAAATAAAGGCACACTTATGTCAACTGGCTCACTTTACAGCAATTATGTCCAAGAGTAGTTATCTTATTTATACTTTATATATCTTATCTTATATATACTTTATTATATATCTTATATATTTTATATATACTTTCCACTTCTTAGTATACTTCACTAAACTATAAGCTCCAGGAATTCAAGGACCTTGTCTTTTTGGTTCATCATCATGGCTCATTGTCAGAAATAGTGTTCAGCATATAGTACATGATCAAAGGAAGTGAATGAGATTCGAATGTTTGAGGGAAGGAATAAAGGAAAGAAGGAAAGACAGGAAAAAAGATGAACAGAGGGAAAGAAAGAATGTTTGGAGTATTACTGATGCACTGTATATGAAAGTGAAGTGAAAGTCGCTCAATTGTTTCTGACTCTTTGCAATCCCATGGAATACAGACCATGGAATTCTCCAGGCCAGAATACTGGAGTGGGTAGCCTTTCCCTTCTCCAGGGGATCGTCCCAACCCAGGTCTCCCACATTGTAGGCAGATTCTTTACCAGCTGAGCCACAAGGGAAGCCCAAGAATACTGGAGTGGGTAGCCTATTCCTTCTCTAGCAGATCTTCCCGATCCAGGGATCAAACTGGGGTCTCCTGCACTGCAGGTGGATTCTTTACCAACTGAGCTATCAGGGAAGCCTGCTGTATATGAAAGTGTCCTATAAATTTTTAGGTATTACCCATATTATTGGCCTTCCCTGGTGGCTCAGTGGTAAAGAATCTGCCTGCATTTCAGGAGATGTAGGAGACACAGGTTTGATCCCTGGGTCAGGAAGATTTTCTGGAGGAGGGCATAGCAACCCACTCCAGTATTCTTGCTGGAGAATCCCATGGACAGAGGAGCCTGGTGGGCTATAGTCCATAGGGTCCAAGGAGTTGGATATGACTGAAGCAACTTAGCACTCATGCAAACATCCACATTTTTAAACATATAAGTAACATTTGACGCATTAATTATACCAGGGTGATCTTTTAAGAATGTAAGTTAGATCATGTTATTTCCCTGCAGAAAACCTTCAAGTGGCTTTTCATATTACAATAAAAGTCAAACTCCCTTTAGCTTTCAAAGCCCTGTGTGATCTGACCCAAGCTGGCCTCATGCACTCTTATATTTCCTCAAACATGCCAACTCTGTTCCTGCCTTGGAATCTGTGCTAGCCCTTTCCCCTGCCTGAAAGCCCTTCTGCAAAAATCTGCATGTCTGGCTCCTTCTTGTCGGTGGACTCTTGGCTGAAGTGTCACCTTCTCAGAGAAGACTTCCTTGCACACACTCTAAAGAAGCCCTCACTGGTCCCCTCTTACTATTTATGCGGTTATCTACTACTAGTCTCCTCCCAAGTGCCTGATGGTCAATAAATATTTACATTTGTGTGACATTATATTTGTTCAGTGCTTACATTTCATAGATGCTTTTCTAATCATTATTTTGTTTCATCACCACAAGTTTATGAGCTCAAAACAAACAATGAACAAACAGAACCCCCTACAGGTCCAAACTGAAAGCTTCCTCTCCGTCCCTCCACACCCTAGCCCCCTCACACACTGAGAGAGGTATCCTGGCCTTGTGAATAAAAGCAACTGTGCCAGTCAGCTTTAGTATTTGTGACTTAATTTGAGTCGTGTACAATCAGAGATATAATAATTCCTTAGTACACTAACTAGAGGGATTTTTTTGAGACACAGAAATGGTGCTGTTGGGTGCCAAGCTGTTCTTTGTTCTGGGCTTGGTGGTTAAGGGCTGGGGTGAGGGTGGTGAGATGAACACGGAGGGTGGGAATGGGCAGAGGGAAGCAAAGGGCAGGAACGCTCACTGGGTTCCAGCTGGGTTTGTTTACTGTGGACCCCAGGGCAGCAGTAATTCTGTAGGAAGAGTTCTGGGCCAGGGCACAGGAGCAGGCACTAGGGCTGGCACTACACATCCCTCCCCCAACCCAGGCTACCAGTCCCTCTGTTACATGAGGTGGAACCGGATCATCTCCAAGGAGAATCCCAGCTCTGACGTTCTACGGGTTAATGAGAGGACTCACCTTTTATCATGACCGAGATGTCTGTAAGGAGGATAACTCACATAATATTTTTGATAAGAACAGCTTTTCTGGACTAAGTGGGATTTCTCTGATCAGTCAATAAAGTCACTGGACATACCCAGCTCTCTGCTCTTGCCATTCTTCTTTAGCCTCCCCTTTCCTCTGCTCTCCTAGAGTAGGTGACACCCTGGGCAAATCCCCTCATCACACAGAGATCAACATCCAGTATAAGTGCACTTAAGCCACTCTCCAAGGGATGGGTTTCTACTGTATCTGATCTTGGACAACACTCTCCCATCTGCTTTCAACATGTTGCATCTGACATTAACTAATGTCTCCTATTAGCATTAAAAGAAAACAATCTGGAAAAATTCACTCTCAAGCAGAGTTCAAACAGGCCACAAGTAGATTTGGAATCTCAACTGCACAAGGTTTGTTCAAATAATAGTGGTAAATATATAAATATATATAAATGCATAAACGTGTGTACGCATAAACCCATATGTACACACACGTGTGTATATCTTGGGGTATGTCTGGGAGGTAAAGCTAAAAGTCTGTAAAATGGGTCAAAAATACTTCCGTCCAATTTGTGAAACTAATGAGTAACAGAAGGAGAAAAATTCTCCCAGTGGGGATCAGAGCACGATCAAAAGAACTGAAGGACATGGAAAAGGAGTTGGGAATCTTTGTCTTACGCTTACTGGTAATGGGTTAAAATTCTGGTCCACAAGGTGATTGTATCCATGGTCAAAAAATGAGTGCCGAATCACAACATCAATGCCCTGATTGGCCAGCATTCCTAAAGTGTTCAACCATCTGAAAAGCAAGGGAAAAAATGCTGTATCAATACATTTAAAATCAATACATCTAAAAACTCTTAGTCACACCTTCTGCTGGCCCACTTAATAATAATTACTTAGTTCTCTGTCTTTCCCCAGATGGTATGAGTGCATCAAGAATAGACACATTTTAGCTTTGCACCCCAAACAACCATCACAGTTTCTGGAATACTATAGGTGCTCAACAGTCTAAGTTCAAACTGATCTGGATAAAATCAGATTATAGGATTTTGAGAATCACCATTTACATACTAGGGACAAATCATGCATAGTTATGATTCCCCAAATCTGAAATAATATGGAGCTCCAAACCAGTGACCTTACTAACACTAAAGACCACTGCTAATTTTTACATTATGAACAAGTATTAAAATATTTTTGAATCTTTTCCACATTGACAATTATATTTTATTCTGATAAAACTAACAAATACCTACTGATAATGAATCACATATAACTCACATGCAAACACAGTAAAATGCAAAGACAAAAGTTATAAATCCAAAGGGAAATCTGACAAAAATATAGTAGAAACATTTTGTTGCTGTTGTTCAGATTGGGACATTATAACCCAGGGAACTGAAAATGCTTTTGGAATATCACATGGCTAAGCTACTTGTCTTTCTTATTTCTGTTCATTTGGCAACACTGTAAAATTAGGAGAACAGGTTTAGCTTTGCTTTAGCCTCTGAGACACAGTTTTAGCTGACCTGTGGTAGAACTGTAACATGAATTCTGGGTTGACGCCTCCTAAGTCAGTGTTCTCTCCACTGAAAGAGCACAAATACCGTAGGTTCTAACAAACAACAAGTATTTCTATGTACAAACAAGTTTGTCTTTCTCACCCTTCTATCCCCAGGCTTACTGAATGAATGAAGAGACAAAATGATAAGTAAATACATAATCACATGTATGTGAATCCCTATCTCTAATGGCATCTGGATATCAATACTTGTATTTGTACATGTGATAAGATCCCATCTGTTCATTCATTTATTATTCATCCAACAATATGAATTCATCAACTGTAAATTCTAGATCTTGTTCTTAGCATTAAGAATAGATTAAAAAAAAAATGCCTGTGAGACCACATAAGTCATTTGAAAGGACTGGGTATGTAAATAACTGTACCTACATATTTACAAGAATGCTATCAAATTCCTACTTGTGACCTCTACACAGCCTAGCACAGTGAAATATAAAGAATATATAGTCAATAAATAAAAAAAGGTACTACTACTAATAAATAAATAATGAATAATAAAGGTACAACAAATAAAAAAAGGTACTAATTAGTAAATCTGAGTTTTCTGGATTTTCTTCTGAGAGTATATGGGTAGTTTTTGAAGGAACTCTAAAGAGAGAGAGAATATTCATTCTCCTCTTTAAACCCTCATCCTATATGCACATCCCAGGACTAGGGCATTAACAAATGACTATGGCCAGAGCCCCTGCTTTTCCATAGCTTTTCAGAATAGAATGGTTAGTTCTGGAATTGTCTTCATCTTCCTCTGTAATAATAAGTCTCCTGAGAAGGGGAAATAAATGGTGTTCCATGTCGCTCTTTTATGCTTAATTAGCGAAAAGTGGCAAGATAATTGGCACATCTCACCAAGGATGCTTCTGTGGCTATTAATTTCTATCCACAAAACACTATTGAATATCTATTACATGACAGACATGACTAGGTGCTGCAGACACAGCAGTATGCCAAGGGTAGGGCATCAAAGAATCTCAAAGTCCTGACTGGGAAAACCACCCTTGCATACTGGCAGCAGAGAATTCTAATTTATGCATGCATGTGAATGTGTCCTGGTAAGCTTATAGTTATGCCATATATTGAAAAAGGGCTGTAAAATGCCGTCTTTCCAACTCTTTGCTAGCCTTCTGGAGCTTCCTAGAATGCTGTACATTTTTTTTCTCCAGGAAGCAATTTATGCCCCTTGGAGAACTGGACTCAAGGAGCATGTTTCTGGGTACTGCCAGTAGAGCTTACGACCCGAGGACGATAAAAAGGTAAGAGAAAAGACCAGGAGCAGAATGAGCTGGGTTTCATTTGATCTGTCAACCAAGCACGGAACATCTGAACTACACCAAAATCTAAACAACGATGTTCACAAAAGTGACTGCGGAGATCTATGGATATTTAGCTGATGCTAGTGAAAAGGCAGGTCTCTCTCTAGCTCTCTCCATGATGGTCCGTGTTATTTCTCATTTCACATCACTCTCTAAAGGGAAGAATGTTCATGAAAACACTCAGTACAGATGGACTACTTGCTAGGCCCTGCAGCTGAGTTCTTTTGAGATCGCTAAGCAAAGGCCATATTCTGATTCAAGGGGCCTCCAGCAGCCAATCCAGCTGTCACAGTGAAACCTGCTGAGGAGAGTATTTTTGAAAGAAGACCCTCAGCAACACTGAACAACCTCTCTGTGCCGCTCCACGTGAGGACACAGGGCTGGAAGACCCCAGGCATATCTTGTAGACACTGACTCATCATCTTCATCTGCATCTGCCAGGATTCCACCTTAAAAGACATCTGCTTGACCAGCCTGATTTGCCCTTCACAAATGTAATAAAGAAGCTGCCTTAATGGAGAGGAACTATAGCTATATAATTAGAAGTGGCTGTTAGCAGTGAAATGTGTAGTTGAGGGCAGAGCTGCAGTTCTTAGGAGAACCTTGTTCAGATGAAAAACCAGGACCACAGACTAGATTGGACCAGAAACAGGTCACTTGGTCAGTCTGTGGTCTTGAGTGGTTTGTCCCTGTCACATGACAATGGCAGGCCAGGAGGAGGTCCTTGGCTTAAGTGCTTCTGGCTTAAGTTGCTCTCCAGATGACTGCAGTAGCCTTCAAATTCATCTTCCTATCTCTTGCTTCTCCAAACTGGTGCAAACTATCAAACATAGTGTTTTCAGCACAGGTCAGATCTCTGTAGGACCTCACTCCTCCTCTGTAATAGTCAATGGCTTGTCACTGAGTATAGAATAAGGCCTCATATTGCATCCCTGGTTTTTAAGGTCTTCTATGATTTGGTGGTAAAACTCTGTCCTTAATCATACCTAGGCTTCCCAAGTGGTGTTAGTGGTGAAGAACCTGCATGCCAATGCAGGAGACATTAGAGACTTGAGTTTGATCCCTGAATCAGGAAGCTCTCCTGGAGGAGGGCATGGCAATCCACTCCAGTAGTCTTGCCTGGAGAATCCCATGGACAGAGGAACCTGGTGGGCTACAGTCCATGGGGTCACAAAGAATCAGAACAACTGAAGTGACTTAACATGATCATGCCCCTGCAGATACTGAGGCTTTCTCACACTAATCATTTCTCCTCACAATGTTCCTTGGGCTTCCAGGTGGCACTAGTGGTATAGAACTACCTGCCAATGCAGGAGACATAAGAGATGTGGGTTTGATCCCTGGTGGGGAAGATACCCTAAAGAAGGGCACAGCAACCCACACCAGTATTCTTGCCTGGAGAATCCCACGGACAGAGAAGCCTGGTGGGCTAAGGTCCATAAGGTCACAAAGAGCCAGACACAAATGAAGTGGCTTAGCAGAATCATACCTTCACTAACCCCTTCAGATACTGAGGCTTTCTCACACTAATCATTTCTCCTCATAATGTTCCTTCAGCTTAGAGTGCTCCCTACTACCCTCAGCAACAACCTTCACCTATAGAAATTAGAGAAATTTCTCGATGTTCCACTAAATTGCCTCTTCCTCCACAAAGTCCTTCCTGATACTCCCAGTCAGAAATTCTTGATTCTTCTGCATGTCTATCCCTTGTGTGGACAGACCATATAAGGAAGGAAGAAAGGTGGTATAATTTAGTGGCAAAAAGGTAGGCCTCTGGAGCAGACTGCTATAACTTGAGTCCAACCTCTGCCATTAATTAATAATTGCATCTATCTTAGTGGGTTCTTATAAAATAAGGGCATCTACTACACTGGTTGTTAAATCATTAAATATGCACAAAGCACTATTAAATATGCCCTCGGCACATGGTAAGCACTATGCAGTTAAAATTATGATGATGAAACTTATCTCCAATAGCTTTTCTTATCCTCCATCTCTATTCTTCCAGTTGTCTAAGTTTCTAAAGGGCAAAACCTCCCTCTTATTCTTACCTATCTCCCAGAACTCTATTGAAAATTACAAGAAAAAAAATATATGCTGTCTGTACCGTATTTTGCACTGTAGACATAAAATAAAACTCTTATTACTATCTACTTATTATTAACCTTATTACTAATAACTACCCTTATTATTCTTGCTCTAATGCCTGTACCTGAGATCTTATTATTTAGACAAGTCCCTAATCACTGTTTGTTGAGTGTTTAAACACATTTACGAAGAAACGGATGAAGAATTTTCAGTAGGAAACGAACCACCACCCCATCCAAAGGGCAGAATAATAAGCAATTTCACTGTCCTTTCCTAAGTCCCTTGGGAGTGAAATTGCAAGTTCTACTCACAAGAATCCTGCAGCATAGGAATCTGATAGATTGTTTGTGCCTCCAGCTGAGGTGGTCACCACACCTTCAAGCCAAATCTTCTTTCCTGGGGTGTATGTGTTAACCACCTGTTCACACAACAAAAGCAGAAGGAGATAATGAGATTTTTAAAAACTGTTCCTAAATGAGAAGGACCATACATTCTCTTAAAGTTCCTCTGATCCTCTGTTCCCAGGTGATCATGATCTGTGCTTTTTTCATGTTGATATAGCCCATATAGCTGGCACACACACACACATACATATTAATATCGATACATGTCCATTCAAAGAAATGATCATTTTTTTCTCCTGAGTGAACCAAAGTGACATTGTGACAGGAGAACAAGTGTATATTCTAGGACATAGGTTGACTGCAACACTCTTCACTGAAAATTAATAGTGGAGGTCAAACTGGAATGCTGCTAAAGATTAAAGAAGAATTTCCCCTTGCACCTAGAAAAAGGTGGTCCTCTTCCTCTTCTTGACACTGCTTAGAGTGCCCAACCCAAGGAAAGCTGGAAACACTATAAATAAGAGAGCAAGAAAAATACCTTAAACGATTAGAAAACAGAGTCATATGGTGAAAGTAAAGGTCTACAGTAATGATTCCCCTTAAAACATTCATGCTTTTGATAAACTTTTGTGTTTCCTTTAAGATTAACTGAAACTTAGTAATATATTTCTGTTTTTCTTTTTTGCCTTTGGCTTCTAGGATATTCAAAGTTTAATTTTTGTTTGAAGACAGATATAGAGGTGATTAAGGCAGTTAGAGAAAAGTGGTTCTGTTAAACAAAATAAAACAAAAAAGTAAATAGTATAAGATGATGAACCTTGAAATCATTAAGCTAAGTGAAAGAAACCAGACACAAAAGGCCACATATTATATTCATTTATATGAAATGTCCAGAACAGTCAAATCCATAGAGACAGAAAGTAGATTAATGGATTTCTAAGGTTGGAAAAAGGGAAAGAGAATGAGGGGGAAGATGGGGAGTGACTACAAATAGGTATGGAGTTTCTCTGGAGGATAATGAACATGTTCTAAAATTAAATAGTGACAGTTTCACAATTTTGTGAATATACTAAAAACCACTGAATTTCAAACTTTTAAAGGGTATGTCTCATGATATGTGAATTGTATCTCAGTAGAGCTGAGTGTCTAATATGTATCATTAACAATAGGAGAGGTAGACCCTAATAGGTAGATAACTGATGTGGAAAGGGGAATAAATCCTGAAAATCTGGGGTTCTACCACATAGCAGCCATGAGACGCTTGGAGAATCATTATCTTGGACTTCAATTTCTTCACCAGCATATAAAGTAACATATTTGGAGGACATGAAATCTAAGTCCTTTCTAAATACAAAATGTCAAAATGTATCAGTATTTTGTAATGCTTGTGCTGATCCCCTTGGCTCCTATTCCGCAAAGGTCAAGAGTAAATTTGATTATGGAAATTAAAATAACATAAACAACAAATACAGGAGACAAAAAAGCCAGATTTGGTCATCTCAAAAATAAAAGATCTTGGCTAGAGGTAAATATTGGGAATGGTAGAAAAAGACCACAGGAGTAGGTGAAATTAGTTAAGGGGAATATTTAAAATTATACTGGGCTTCCCTGGTGGTTTGGTTGGTAAACAATCTGCCTGCACTGCAGGAGACCGCCTGCCGTAAAGAATCTGCTTAAAACGTAAGAGACCCAGGCTTGATGGTTGGGAAGATTCCCTGAAGAAGGAAATGACAACTCTCTCCAGTATTCTTGACTGAGAAATCCCATGGACAGAGAAGCCTCGCAGGCTGCAGTCCATAGGGTTGCAAGGGTTGGACACAACTTAGCAACTAGACCACCATCACTACCAAAGAAGGGCTAAGGCTGTCTATGCAAAAACATGAAGGCATTATCAAATGGATTTATTCATTCGTTCAGTAAATATTTATTGAGCACCTGCTATATGCCAAGCAGAATTCTAGGGGCAAACAGTGAATGAAACACAAGTCTCTGCTCTCATCAGCTCATATTTTAGTCAAGGGGAAGAGACTGACAATAAACACACAAACATAAATTTAGAAATAGGAAGTTCTAGGAGGAAAATAAAATCTACTAATCTGACAGATAGTGCCTTGGAAGAAGAGGAGGGTTGATGTTTTAGATGAAGGTCAGGAAATCCCTCTAGCACCTTTATATAAGGATTTTAGTTAAGCTCCATTAAATGAGGAATTGATTCCAGAAAATGGATGGATTTATAAATTGCTGTGTACACAGGACTCATCAAGGACACAAACACTGTGTAAATAAAGTTCATTTGAATTCTCTTCTGACTTGCAGGAAGATTTGGAAGGAGACAATCTAAAACTTCTTATAATTAGTGAGGTAGAATTGATTAGCAGTTAGTGGTCTGCACACACATTGCCTGGGTTTGAATCCTGGTTTCATTATTGACGCACTGTTGACCTTGTTGTGCCTTAATTTCCTTAGCTGCAAAATTAGAATAATAAATGTGCATTTTTTTATATTTAAGTGACCTAATATTTGTAAAGCACTTGGAAAGGTGTCTGGCAAATGATAAGCTCTTAAAGTAAAGCAAATGTTACCTAGATCACTCTCTTTGTCCAAAGTACATGAGATTGTGATTGGCGATCTAACATTAGAACTGGTTGCTTTTATTTGGATACGGACACGTTTGTGGTGGTAGGTAGGTAGGTTGGAGAAGGTAATGGCACCCCACTCCAGTACTCTTGCCTGGAAAATCCCATGGACGGAGGAGCTTGGTAGGCTGCGGTCCATGGCGTTGCTAAGAGTTGGACAAGACTGAGCGACTTCGCTTTCACTTTTCACTTTCACACACTGGAGAAGGAAATGGCAACCCACTCCAGTGTTCTTGCCTGGAGAATCCCAGGGAAGGGGGAGCCTGGTGGGCTGCCGTCTCTGGGGTCGCACAGAGTCGGACACAACTGAAGTGACTTAGCAGTGGTGGTAGGTAATAGACCAGATGTGTGCTAAGTAGCAGGGAAAGGTCTATTTAGAATTTAAAATATACATGGATAGCTCACATTAATGTAATTAGCATCCAGAGTAGTTTGTTAATCCACTCAGCACAGGAGCAATTCTTGTCATTTTCTAGAGAAGCTATTAATACATGAGCCAAAAAAACACAAGGAGAGAGTGCTTTGATACAAAAGCAAGTCAGTTATATGAAATGTTATATGGCAGAGAAATTCCTAGAAAGTATCAATGTTAGAGGTTGGTGTGAATCAGCAAGGATTTTCTGAGCATTTACTGTTTGGGACACCGTAAGAGGCTTAATGAATATTGTGTCTACCGTGAGACAAGAAGAGGTTATCATAGTAATGTGTGGGGGAGGTACTGAGGTTGGGTGCTGGTTGGGCCTAGAGAGGAAATTAGTATGGGCAGAAGAGTAGAGGAAAAAATCAGGAAAAACAGATGGAACCAGCTGCAAAATTCCCTTAGAAAGTGAAACTCTAAGAAACTGAGGGCTATAGTTCAACACTGCGGTTTTCTGAGTAAATATGATTCCCCCTGTGCTAGAAGAGAGAAAATTGGAGGACTGCAAAGAACAAGGGTACAGTTCCTGATGAAAAATGATGTGCCAATGAAGGTTATTTTAAGAAACACATTGTCTGGCAAGGGAGAAGTACAAATGCCCAAATGCCGAGATTATTGAGGTGAAGGGACAGGGGAGTTGAATGGTTGGCTCCCTTTCAGCAGTTTTTTTATCCCCCACAGACTTCAGCTCTTAGGTCCATGTGGACAAGGGAGCTTTGAAGCACCCACAGAACAGCTCAGCTGGTTGCCAGTGGCTGCTCAGAATCCTTTGGCCTGCTGGGGACAGGGTGGTATGAAGGGAACCCCTCTAGCTCCCTCCGTCTCATTTCAGGTGTTGAGGACATCAGGACTGTGTCTGTTTCGTGTGGCTATATTGAAAGAGGAGAGGTGAGAGAGAAAAATAGCTTTGACTTTTTAAAAAGTTTTATTTTCCCTACCACTTTGAATATTTTTTTTTTTTTAAGAAAACAGTTAAATATAGGAAAATAACCATTTCTGTGGCACATTTTCAAACCCGGGCTTCCCTTTCCTGTCTCTCCAAAACTGTGATTTGTCTTTAAAAAAGACTCCTGAGAGCCTGGCTTCAGCCACTGGCTATGCAAGTGATGGTAGCCTTGTAGCAGCAGACATGTTGTTTATGGTTATCCAAACCCAACACCTTCCTTAATGAGAAAGGAAGCAATAAAACAGGAATAGTGGACAGGCCAGCTGGGCTAATCAGGCCTGGCAAGAGGCCCACCCTCCAAAGGAAGCTGGAGTCCATTAATTCCAGCATCTCATATAGTTGGAAATCAACCTTCCCTAGGACTTCAGGAAAAGCAGTAGTTCTTTAAGCAACCAGAACGGGTCCCCTATGTCACTGGTTAGAAGGAGCTGAATAGCTTTAGGGAACTTCTTAAACTTTCCTTACCCATGGACATGGCTCTGCTTGGAGGTGCTCCTGTCTCTTTGTTTCTTATTGCATTCATAAAACGTCCAGGTGAGAGCTCAATAATGTTCCAGTTTTTCTTCCCATCCTTCTTGTGTGTTTTTGACTCTACGCTACCTATTGTGTGAGACGAGGACAAAATCACTCCATTCTGCCCCCTCCGTTCTTACTCACTGTCCCCTTCTGAGTTCTTGATCTTATCCTTTCTCCCCTGGTCTTCCTGCAAGGAAGACCTCCTTCTCAAGACTTTCCTCTACACTGCTGCTGTCTTTTAACCAGCTTCACCCTAGCTTCAGAACCTCCATGGCTCCTCATTACCAGCGGCAGAACTCAATCAGGTGCTCATGGAGTGGTCTGTGTGACTAGTTGGCAGACATGTTATGACTGACTTGCTTCAGATAATATTGAAAGCAGTGATTTGGGGAATGATTTACTTAAAAGTACTGATAAAAGAAAGTAGGTTCAAAGTTATCATAATAACATTCCTTTCACTCACCAGAATTATGAAATGCTTCCTTAACATGGAAAAAAGCAAAGGAGCCAGTAAACTACACACAGCTCACAGTCTATTTTATTCACTTGTCCATGAAA